GAAGTTTTAGCTTTTCAATTATTTGTCCAGTGAGTATGAAATTGACAGGTTGAAAATTCACTGTTTTAAGCAAGCTTAATTATATTTGTGTCTCAATTGTATTAAGATTGACAACTAAGCTTCTTATCCCTGGCACTATTTTAATTTCATTTCATTTGGGATAGGATCCATTGCTAGGGAGCTAGTGCTGTCCTTTGGAGATGATGCAACACTCTGGCTGTATTGTGTTTCAATTTTCCAGTAATTTGTATCAAATGATGGACAGTACAAAAAAGTATAATTGACAATAGCATATGTAGGGGAAAACAACCCCAATTTTCAAATTCCTTCATCTGGTATTTAATGTGTTCCCCACTTTTTTTTTTTACAATCTCCTTCTTCTGACAGGCAGAGCAGTAGCATTGTTTGAAAGCATGTTGAAAGTATAGCAGTAGCATTGTTTGAAAGCATGTTGAAAGGAGGCAAAGAACAGCTAAGAAAAGCAGGGATTAGGCCAGGCGTGATGGCTAACACCTGTAATCCCAGCACTTTGGGAGGCCAAGGCAGGCAGATCACGAGATCAAGAGATTGAGACCACCCTGGCCAACATGGTGAAACCTCGTCTCTGCTAAAAAAAAAAAAAAAAAAAAACAAAAATTAGCTGGGCCTGGTGACATGTGCTTGTAGTCCCAGCTACTCGGGAGGCTGAGGCAGGAGAATTGCTTGAACCCAGGAGGCGGAAGTTGTAGTGAGCCGAGGTCGCGCCACAGTACTCCAGCCTGGCACCTGGCAACAGAGCAAGACTCTGTCTCAAAAAAAAAAAAAAGGAAAGAAAATCAGGGATTAGTATGAAGTCTGCTGCTAATTGGAAAACAAGGAAATATTTAAACACTTTCAAGATCTAGTATTCAGGCCTGGGCAGTCTATGTTTGGAACTTATAGTGGAGAATGGGTTTTGAGTCTTTCGACTTTCTAAACATACTGCCATGAAGCTTATGGGGCAGCTGCTATTTAAAGAGGTACACAGAAACTGAAACTCTATAAAAGAGCCCTCTTCTTGGGTTTCACCCCATTCCCTTCCTGACTTCTTTTATCAGGCAACAGCTGCGTAGCTACAGGTGGGTGGCCCTAGAACTCATGCCCTTCCTTCCCTGGTTCTTTTTCACTCTCCCTATTTCACTTGGCCTGGGAAGATGATCTAGCTGTGGATCTGCCAAAGGCAGAGGTGGCTTCTTTAGTCATAATGTTGCACAGAATTCTGAGATGCACAAATTTTATAATATATTCCATACTAAATTTATTTTGTTGATAATAGCCAAATTCCTGGTATCGAGCAACATATATAGACACTTAATCTCAAATCATATTTTGTTTTTGAAATTACAGGCCTCATATAGTGTTATACATTTATTGTATTGTATATAGTTCCCATTCTTCTCAGTTCAGCTCTATATAGAAAAGCATGTAAAAATAATTCATAAAGCATTTTATTTATATAGCAATTACCTAAATTATGTTTTTGCTACGTACATTTAAGGATAATAGCTTTGTCTTCTTTATCACTGTATTGTTGAGACTTATGGAACCCCTGGCATATAAACACTCAGTATATAGTTGAATAATCTAATATAAAATGTTAGAGGGTAATTATTTCTGGAGAATATCCTGAGTTTTTTGGGCGTTTTGTTTTGTTTCAAGGGACAGGGTCTCACTCCGTTGCCCAAGCTGGAGTGAAATGGTGCAGTCATAGCTCATCATAGTGAACTCCTGGGCTTATGCAGTCCTCCCCTGAACCTCCCAAGTAGCCTGTATATGTATATGTATATGTATATGTATATGTATATGTATATGTATATGTATATGTATATGTATATGTATATGTATATGTACGTCATGGGAGGCCAGGCACGGTGGCTCACTCCTGTAATCCCAGCACTTTGGGAGGCCAAGGTGAGCGGGCCATGTGGTCAGGAGATTGAGACCATCCTGGCCAATATGGTGAAGCCTATCTCTTCTAAAAATACAAAAATTAGCTGGGTGGGTGTGGTGGTGTGCGCCTGTAGTCCCAGCAAGGACACAAAGAAAGTCTACAGGCCAGTAGCCATGGTGAACACAGATGCAGACCAAATCCAAAAACAGATCAAAAATGTAATACACTACAAGCAAGTGAGTTTCATTCCAGGCATGCAAAGATGGTTTAACATAGGCAATCAATAAAATGGCATTCACCATATGAAAAGAACTAAAAACCATGATTACTTCAATAGCCACAGAGAAAGCATTTTATAAAATCCAGCATTCTTTCATGACAAAAACCCTTAAACTAGGCATTGCAGGAACAGAAAAATAATAAAAGCCATCTATAAGAAACCCGCTGCCAATATCATTCTAAATGGGGAAAAGTTGAAGACATGCCCTCTAAGAACTGGAACAAGAATGCCCACTTTTACCACTTTTATTCGACATAATACTGGAAGTGCTAGCCAGAACAATCAGGCAGCAGAAACAAATAAAGGGCATCCAAATTGGAAACGATGTCAGATTTTCTCAGTTCGCTGATGATATCTTATACCTAGAAAACCTTAAAGCATCCTCTAAAATTGTATAGTTAGAATGATCTTTGGAGGTTATCTACTTCTAGCCTCTCGTTTCATGGATGAAGAAACTGAGACCTAAAGAGGATAAGTAAAATTTCTAAGGTTACATACTAGTAAAGTATGGGTATAGATAGAGCTCTGTTGATTATTTGTCTCCAGATTTTTTTTTTTTTTTTATGTACCAAACTCTTTTCTATTTCTGTGGAGAAAAATTACATTGTGAATTCTTTATATTAAAGCATAAGTTGGTTTGAAGAATACTGCCATATACATATGTGTGTTTATTTGTGGTAGTGGAATTGGATTTAATAATCTTGCAGAAACCAATGAAAGAACCATTTAAGATACTTTCTTTTTTAAATTATGTTTAAAATCAAAATGAGTTTTAAAGGAGTGTTAAGATTAGGGAAAAAGTGGCACAGGAGAATTTTTAAAGAAATACAATATAGTGAAATCAGTGACTGGACATTTCAAAATACACTTTTATAATGAGTTTCAGAGTCTATGGAAAGTCCATACCTACTTAGGAACATACACCTTTTCAGTTAACTGTGCTTTCTGACTGGAATGATAAGTCACCCACCTCAACAATCCTCTCCTTTACTCTCTACCATCCTCTCTTCATTTGGTCCTGGGAAAAGCTTGCTTATTCTGCAGGCTTCAGAGCTCCAAGTTTCTCTTCCCTTCCATGAGTGTTCTCCCGTAACATTGTCTGTACTCCTCTACTTAATGCAAACCTTGCACTGTTTACGTGTGTGTCTTCTTCACTGGATTCGTTTATTGAGTATCTGGACTCTTTACTCAACTTTATATCTCAATTCTAAAACAGGATAACACGTTCAGTAGTTTGTCATATAGGTATGTATACATGTAAAACTATTTTTTAATGATACTGAAGAGACTTGAGAGTTTTTAGCATAAAGGGCTGTTGAATTTTGTCAAAGGCTTTCTCTGCATCTATTGAGATAATCATGTGGTTTTTGTCTTTGGTTCTGTTTATGTGGTGGATTACATTTATAGACTTGCGTATGTTGAACCAGCCTTGCATCACCAGAATGAAGCCTACTTGATCATGATGGATAAGCTTTTTGATGTGCTGTTGCATTTGGTTTGCCAGTATTTTATTGAAGATTTTACATCTATGTTCATCCTGGACATTGGCCTGAAGTTTTCTTTTTTTTTTGAGTCTCTGATGGGTTTTGGTATCAGGATCATTTTGGTCTCATAAAATGATTTGGGAAGGGTTCCCTCTTTTTTATGTTGTTTGGAATAGTTTCAGGAGTGGTACCAGCTCCACTTTGTACATCTGGTAGAATTTGGTTGTGAACCCATCTGGTCCTGGACTTTTTTTGGTTGGTAGGCTGTTAATTGCTACCTCAACTTCAGCCCTTGTTATTGGTCTATTCAGGGTTTCAATTTCTTCCTGGTTTAGTCTTGGGAGGGTGCAAGTGTCCTGAAATTTGTCCATTTCTTCCAGGTTTACTGGTTTATGTGCATAGAGTACCAAAACAGAGATATAGACCAATGGAACAGAATAGAGACCTTGGAGGCAGCACCACACATCTACAACCATCTGATCTTTTACAAACCTGACAAAAACAAGCAATGGAGAAAGGATTCCCTGTTTATTAAATGGTGTTGGGATAACTGGCTAGCCATGTTCAGAAAGCAGAAACAGAACCCCTTCCTGATACCTTACACTAAAATTAACTCCGGATGGATTAAAGACTTAAATATAAGACCTAACACCATAAAAACCCCAGAAGAACACGTAGGCAGAACTATTCAGGACATAGGCATAGGCAAGGACTTCATGACTAAAACACTGAAAGCATTGGCAACAAAAGCCAAAATAGAAAAATGGGATCTAATTAAACTCCAGAGCTTCTGTACAGCAAAAAAAAAGCAATCATTAGAGTGAACCAGCAACCAACAGAATGGGAAAAAATTTTTACAGTCCACCCATCTGACAAAGGGCTAATATCCAGAATCTACAAAGAACTAAGACACATTTACAAGAAAAAAACAAACCTATTCAAAAGTAGGTAAATGATATGAACAGACACTTTTCAAAAGAAGACATATATGAGACCAACAAACATATGAAAAAAATGTTCATCATCACTGTTCATTAGAGAAATGCAAATCAAAACCACATTGAGATACCATCTCCAGTTAGAATGGCGATCATCAAAAAATCTGGAGACAACAGATGCTGGAAAGTATGTGAAGACATAGGAACACTTTTAAACTGTTGGTGGGTGTGTAAACTAGTTCAACCATTGTGGAACACGGTGTGGTGATTCCTCAAGGATCTAGAAATAGAACTTCTGTTTGACCCAGCAATCCCATTACTGGGTATGTACCCAAAGGATTATAAATCGTCCTATTATAAAGACATATGCACTTGTATATTCATTGCAGCACTGTTTACAATAGCAAAGACCTGGAATCAACCCAAATGCCCATTGATGATAGACTGCACAAGGAAAATGTGGCACATACACAGCATGGAATACAATGCAGCCATGAAAAACGATGGGTTCATGTCCTTTGTAGGGACATGGATGAATCTGGAAACCATTCTTATCAAAGTGACACAAGAACAGAAAATCAGACACCGCATGTTCTCACTCATAGGTAGGTGTTGAACAATGGGAAAAAATTTTTGTGTGAGAACACATGGACACAGGGACACAGGGAGGGGAGCATCACACACTGGGGTCTGTTGGTGGTTGCTATGAAATGACAGTAAGGGGTAGGGATGTTGGGGAGGGTTAACATGGGGAGAAATGCCAGATATAGGTGACAGGGAATGGAGGTAGCAACCACCTTGCCATGTTAAGTACCTATGCAACAACCCTGCATGATCTGTACATGTACCTCAGAACCTAAAGTACAATTTAAAAAAAAAATGCAAAAAATAGTACTTGACTTTTTATAGGTTTGTAATACTTTTTCAGTAAATTTCAAATAAAAATTATTTCTAAACTAAGATTAACGTTTTAATAGCTATATATTTATAACTATAGCTACCTAATATAAACTTCTATTTTTTATTATCTTCCAGAAGAAAATTTTTTGAAGAGACAGGGTCTCATTCTGTTGCCCAAACTGGAGTGCAGTGGCATGGTCATAGCTCACTACAGCCTCCAATTCCTGACCTCAAGTGATCCTCCCACCTCAGCCTCTTGAGTAGCTGGGACTACAGGCATGCACTACCATGCCTGGCTAATTTTTTTTTTTTTTTAAGAGACAGTGACTCACTATGTATTCTGGGCTGGTCTTGAACGTCTGGCCTCAAGCAGTCCTCCTGCCCTAGCCTCCCAAAAGCACTGGGATTACAGGCATGAGCCACAACACCTGGCCTATCCTCATATTTCTGTTTTTAGAACTTGGGCTTCTAGGTTGACAGTCCTTGTAGTATTTTCAGCATCAAAAATTAGAAATTATGATCTGAAACAGGTTTATCTTGTTTGTTTTTGGTGGGTAGTACTCTGTGAATAAAAGGTAATCTGAAAAACTGTTTGAATAACAAAATAAAGGAATTTCCAGGTCTTTTAATTTCAGTAAGAAAGAATAGTTCAATTAGGATTATCAAGAAAAATAAAGAACTTGTTGTAGTATGTCTGTTGTTAAATGATTTATTCTTAATTTGCTAAGGCAGTTTTTTCGAAATTCAGATATCTAACTACCAACTTGACCGTTTAACTTTTAAATAAGATTTTTCCCCGAAGTAAATTTATATTGTGAGAATTTAGGCAAATTCTCACAATATAAATTTAAAGAATTAGTGCCAGAAGTTAGTCTTTATCAATGTTGTTTTATACATAAAAATTATCTTGAAATGAAAGTCGTTCTTAAAAGAATGACTTATTTTATAAGCAGTAATTAAAATGGGAAAAATGAGTAATTCAGGAATTTTATTTATATTTGCATTAGGTGTTAACTAATTTGCAGAAAATTTCTAGAATGCTCATATTCCAAAAAAGGATATAAGTGGCTTATAAAAACAATTTTTTAAATGAGGAAAACTAAATGTATGAATATGGAACCAGAAGTGAGATTAATATAAACAAAACCAGTAAAAATGCTGGTATACTTGTTAGAAGTGGTCCACAGTTATAGCTCATAATCACTGTAGGTTCCCTAGAAAGTTGTTCCATTCTTTCAAAATCATTTTCATTTGACAGCTTTTACTGTGTGAAATGAACCTGTCCAGGTTTACTTCATTTGACACTTATCCCTTTATGGGGTCTATGAACAACAAGAAAAAAAATCTTTTTCACTTACTTTTTTTTAACTTACATTTTAGGCTCAGGAGTACATGTGCAGGTTTGTTACATAGGTAAATTCATGTCACAGATGATTTTGCCACTCAGGTACTAAGCCTGATACCCAATACTAATACTTTTTCTGATCTCCCTCCTTCCAACCTTTACCCTCAAGTAGGCCTTAGTGTTTGTTTCCCTCTTTATATCCATGTGTTCTCATCACTTATAAGTGAGAACATGCAGTATTTGGTTTTCTGTTTCTGCATTAATTTGCTAACTATGATGACAAATCCTGTAAGAACTTACTAAGGATAAATCTAAGAGAAACCAGGATAGCTATACATAGCATTAATGTAAAAGAATTGTTTCTCTCTTGCAAAAAAAAGTGTACCTATTATTTTGTCACCCAGGTACTAAACCTAATACCCAATAGTTATTTTTTTCTGATCTTTTCCTTCCTCCTGACTTCTGCCCTCAAGTAGGCCCCGGTATCTGTTGTTTCCCTCTTTATGTCCATGTGTTCTCCTCACAAGTGAAAACATGCAGTATTTGGTTTTCTATTCCTGCAGTAGTTTGCTAAGTATGATGGCCTCCAGCTTCATCCATGTTCCTGTAAAGGACATTATATTGTTCTTTATTATGGCTACGTACTATTCCATTTTCTTTATCCAGTCTACCATTGATGGACATTTAGATTTATTCCAATTCTTTGCTACTGTCAATAATGCTGCAGTGAACACACACGTGCATGTGTGTTTATGGTAAAATGATTTGTATTCCTTTAAGTATACAGCGAGTAATGGGATTGCCAGGTCAAATGGTATTTGACTGATGCTTTTAGCTCTTTGAGGAATCACCACAATGTTTCTCCAATGGTTGAACTAATTTACACTCCCACCAACAGGGTATAAGCATTTTCTTTTCTCCACAACCTCACCAGCATCTGTTATTGACTTTTTTTCTTTTTGGGGGGTTGGGGGGACGGAGTCTCACTCTGTCACCCAAGCTGGAGTGCAATGATGCAATCTTGGCTCACTGAAACCTCTGCCTCCCGAGTAGTTAGAATTACAGGCACCCGCCACCACACCCAGATAATTGTTTGTGTTTTTAGTAGAGACTGGCTTTCACCATGTTGGTCAGGCCAGTCTTGAACTCCTAACCTCAGATGATCCACCTGCCTCAGCCTCCCAAAGCACTGAGATTATAGGTGTAAGCCACCATGGCTGGCCGTATTTATTCACTTTAATAATACCCATTCTGACTGGTATGAGATGGTATCTCATTGTGGTTTTCATTTGCATTTCTCTAATGATCAGTGATATCGAACTTTTTTTAATATGCTTGTTGGCTATGTGTGTGTATTCTGTTGAGAAGTGTGTTCATGTCCTTCACATACTTTTTATAATGGGGTTATTTTTTCATGAAAATTAGTTTAGGTTCCTTACAGATGCTGGATATTGGACCTTTGTCAATGCCTAGTTTGTAAATATTTTTTCCATTCTATAGCTTTGTCTTAGGGGAAGAAAAGTAAAAAAAAAAGAACAAGTCTCACTCTGTTGCCCAGGCTGGAGTGCAGTGGCACAATCTTGGCTCACTGCAACCTCTGCCTCCCGGGTCCAAGCAGTTCTCCCCTCTTCAGCCTACCAAGTAGCTGGGACTACAGGCATGTACCACCATGATCGGCTAAGTTTTTGTATTTTTAGTAGAGATGGGGCTTCACCATGTTAGCCAGGATGGTCTTGATCTCCTGACCTTGTGATCCGCCTGCCTCAACCTCCCAAAGTAAGTGAGCCAGCTTGTTTTTCAGTCTGTTGGTAGTTTCTTTTGCTATGCAGAAGCTTTTAAGTTTAAATTAGATCCATCTGTCAAATTTTGCTTTTGTTGCAATTGCTTTTAGCATCTTCATCATGAAATCTTTTCTCATTTCTATGTCCAGAAAGGTGTTGCCCAGGTCATCTTCCAAAGTTTTTATAGTTTTGGGTTACACATTTAAGTCTTCAGTCCATCTTTAGTTGATTTTTGTATATAGTGTAAAGAAGGGGTCTAGTTTCAATCTTCTGCATAGGGCTAGCTGCTGATCCCAGCACCATTTACTGAATGTTCTTTCCCCATTGCTTGTTTTTGTCAAGTTTGTCAAAGATCAGATGGTCATAGCTGTGTGGCCTTATTCTGGGGTCTCTAGTCTCCCATTGGTCAATGTGTCTGTCTACCAGTACCATGCTGCTTTGTTTACTGTAGGAGCCTTGTAATATCATTTGAACTTGAATAATGTGATGACTCCAGCTTTGTTCTTTTTGCTTAGGATTGTTTTGGCAATTTGGGCTCTTTTCTGTTTCCATATGAATTTTAAAATAATTTTTTTTAGTGCTGTGAAGACTGTCATTGGTAGTTTGATAGCACTAGTATTGACTCTGTAAATTGCTTTGGGCAATATGACCATTTCAAAAATATTGATTCTTTCTTTTTTTTTTTTTGCCAATCAGTTTGAGCTTTATGAGGTTGCTCAGGTTAGCCTTGAACTCATGACCTGGCCTTCACAAGCACCACGACCTCCGGCGGGAGCCACTTTGACCCCCAATATTGATTCTTTCTATCCATAAGCATAGAATGTTTTTCCATTTGTTTGTGTCATCTCTGATTTCTTTGAGCAGTGTTTTGTAATACCTTCCTGGTTAGCTGTAATCCTAGGTATTTTATTCTTTTTCTGCCAATTGTGAATGGGATTGCATTCCTGGCATATAGAAATACTAGTGATTCTTGTACATTGATTTTTGTATCCTGAAACTTTGCTGAAGTTGTTTTATCAGTGGAAGGTGCTTTTGGGCCAAAACCGTGATGTTTTCTGGATACAGGATCATGTCATTGGCAAACAGGGATGGTTTCTGTTTCCTCTCTATTATATTTGGATGTCCTTTATTTCTTTATCTTGTCTGATTCAACATACAGACAGTCCTATGTTGAATAGGAGTGGTGAGAGGATATCCTTGTTGTGTGCTGGTTTTCAAGGGGAATGTTCCAGCCTTTGCCTATTCAGTATGATGCTAGCTGTAGGTATGTCATAGATGACTTGTTATTTTGAGGTATATTTCTTTAATGCCCAGTTTATTGAGAGTTTCTAACATGAAGATTAGACTTCAGCAGAAGCCTTTTCTGCATCTGTTGAGATGATCATGTGGTTTTTGTCTTTACTTTATGTGATGAATCACATTTCTTGATGTGCATATATTGAACCATTCTGGCTTCCTGGGGATAAAGCTTACTTGACTGTGGTGGAAGAGCTTTTCTGTGTGCTGCTGGATTCAATTTGCAGGTATTTTATTGAGGATTTTTGCATCAGTGTTCATCAAGGATACTTCTTTTTTTTGT